CTAGTGCCTATGGAGGAAGTGAGGGGTGGGGGAGTGACGACTATGAAGATGGCGGTCAGCACTCGGCCCGTCTCACTGAATATCTATTTCTGGGCTTTACCCGCCAATCATGGTATCCTCCACCGGCGCCTCTTCCACCATTCCCCTTCAATACACAAATCTTTATTCGTCGTCTTGTATAAATAACGGGGAAACATTTATACACCCGGGACGTGGGCGGCGCCGTCAATATTTATCCCTTATAACGATATAGTTCTACGCTTCGGGAGTAAACGGAGATAATCGCAGGGAGAGGGCGATCGGTCACTACTGGTATAAAAAAAAAAAACTTACCTTTGCAGTGGGGCCCCCCCCCCCCCCCCCCCCCCCCGTGTATCTTTTTTTGTTACAAAGTGTTATTTATTTCCCCCAAAAATATTTCACAATGTAACGTTGTCGTTCCCCCCGAGGTGAATACATTCCCTGAATACAAATGTGCCTGATGACTCCTCCCCCCTCCGCCAATCAGCAGGGGGCATGAGCCTTGCTGATTGGAGGGCCGTAGCTCTGACTCAGCAGGGGGCGTGCCGGACCTCAGCAGAGAGACCGCCGCTTCCCCCACAGAGAGCAAGGATCCTTTCTCTGCAGCGTGCTGGCCGGCCTCTGTTCTCGGGTCTGCGTCCCCTTTAAGACTTTTTTTTTTTTTACCGATGGTCTCGGAACGCACGTAACGCATTGAAAGGGGAAAACGTTTGCGATTGGCCCTTTAAAAACGCCCGCTGGGAATTTCCCGCAACTTTCCCCCCTTTGTAGTTTCCGCCTCTCGTATCAGACCGCCAATAAAGATTACACCCCCGCTCCTCCTTTTACAGCGACCTCTGCGCACACTGGCGTGACGGATGTAAACCTTCTTCGTTTACTGCGTCCGTCTACGTGTGGGAAGAGGGCGCCGCGCGTGCGGGAAGGGTTAACGATCGTCGTCGTAGCGCTTTATGGCCCTCGGTGGCCTTTGTACGGTGGCGTCATAACCCGGCGAGGTGACACAGGAAGGGGAGGGGTGGGGGTGCCATGGCTGAGGATAACGCCGCAGTCATTAGCCCCGGATCGCGTCCATTACGGGGGTCGTAATCAGCGCGGCCTCTCAGGGACCACCGGCTGGATATCTGCGGACTCCGGTGGCGTGGCGGCGGGCCCCCGGGGGGAGGGAACGTTGTTGTTTTAGTGACAA